CGAGCGCACACTGCTGGCTCATGTAAAGTTTCTCATCAACCAACACCCCCAAGTCCTTCTCCGCAGGGCTGCTCTGAATCTCTTCTCTGCCCAACCTGTAGCTGTGCCTGGGATTGCTTTGACCCAGGTGTAGGCCCTTGCACTTGTCATGGCTCATTACTTAATAGATAGCTGATTAGCTTAACGGGGAAGCCCTCTTATACTGCAGACAGGATACACAGCTTCATATATGCTAGTTCCTCAAGAATTTCTCTGTCTCTGGCAGAATTTCTGCAAAACTAAATCCATTTGTTGATGTGACTAGCTCTGGAGGTGGAACATGAGATCACAAGGCCACCAGCCTGCTCTGTGCTCATGCCCAAAGTCATGTTCCCCCTCTGTGATGTGCCTAACTCGGAGTACCCAGGGTGGTACACACTCAACACATCTTTAGGTTCACCCAGAGATGAAGAATGCAGTTCACATATTTGCCATGCAGGGCATCTAGTTGTGCCCACACTGGATAAGAGTGAAGCAGTAGAAAGGACTCTTAGGAAAAGAAGGATCACCACCACCTGCAGTCAAGACTCTTGGGCATCTCCCCCATCCATCCCTCCTGTTAGCAATTCAGAGCAGTGCAGTCAGAGAATAAAGTAAAATAACGCCCCTGAAATAACAACTCGCTTCACTGCACAATACTACCTCCAGGTGGAAGATGAAAAGAGAATAAGCCAGCAGTGACAGATGTTACATCTTTTACTGTACTGATGCTGATTTTAGGGAGATAAAGATAGCATAAGAAGCCATACTGAACAAAGCAAACCATACATCACCTAAAGCCATATTCTTCCTGCTTTGAATACCATATTTAAGGCAGAGAAAAAGATCGTTTACAAAGACTAACACACTTTTGTGATCCCCCTCTCTTTTTCGCTTACCATGAGCCTATTATACTGTGGGTTTTTTGTTGCTGTTTTAACATCTTCTGCCTTCAGACTACCCGTGACATGCACACACAGACAGAAGAGCCATTCTGCCTTTAAGTAACATTTGCCAAGGGTTGGTTTTATGGATGACAGGGTTTTTATAGGGCAAAAATTCAACATTTGAGTTCTCATTTCCACTATTCAGTGACCTACTTTACGGAGATGGGGCAAGGGGAGGGCTGCTAGGGGATTACTTCAGGTCCATTTATATAAGATACTCAGGACACAAATCTATGCCTTTCCTTCTGAAAGTACAAAATGTCAAAGAAACAACGTTCCTGCTAAACAAGTGCAATGCCCAGTATTTCAAGAGGTTGGCATGTCTCTTGCACAGCCACATATCCCTTTCTAATCTGCTGAAGGGACAGAGGAGACCTAACCATCTCAACCCCTCCTTATGAGGTGACAGTCCCTCCTGCTTCACTTGGGGATCCCAAGAGGAACCTCATGCAAGTCAGGAAGAAAGAATTCTCCCCAGACCCAGCAAATAGACACATAGCATGATATTAATATGTCTGTGCAAGTCCTGGCATTTGGAAAACATGTTAGTGCCTAGGCCTTATGTTCATAATTACCACAGCAGTACTGAATCTTGATGAGTCAGTAATGACCTTCAATAGCACAGAGAAACTATTTCAGCTTCCACTTAATCAGGTAACAAAGTCACGCAATAGGCAGAATTTCTTTTAAGGTGCTAAATAAGGCTGATCCTAAATGCTGTTTTTCTTCCCCTGTTCTGATTTTCCTGAGCATCACAGGACAGTAAATTTGAGAGCTGACATAATTCATCACTGCCTGCAGAAACTGTGATGAGATTATAGGTACAGCCATCTAATGGATGTTTCCAATAAATCCCATCAATTTCCCAAATGATTCCCCAGCAAGTACAGACAATGTAGCAGTTACTGTCTGCCAGATGGACAACGCATGACTGCACAAATGTCACTGTCCACTTCACCCTGACAATCAGGTAACAAAGTTTGCATGCCACTGCCATCCATCATGCCAAACTCAGCTCTTATCCTCTCAGTTCTTCACCTGTAAGATGTGCATTAATACGCATGAAGAACAAGTTTCTTTTGGTCAAAAGACAGGCTGTTCCCTTGTCCATGAATTCACTGATTAGCGTTTCCACTCTTACAGTCTTTACGGGATAACTGAGGCAAGAACTGAGCTCCCGCTCAGGAGGTCTCTAGTCCAAGCCCCATCTCAAAGCATGGCCAGATAGAGGTCAGACCAGGCTGCTCAGGGCTTTATGAGGTCTTCAAAACCTCCTAGGATGGGGATCCCACAACGTCTCTATTCTCCCACTTGGATGAGAAACACTTGCTCCTTATATTCAGCCTGAACTTCAACTCATGCCTGTTGCCTCTCACCTTCCCATTACACATTGTCGCAAAGAGCCCAGTTCCATCCTCTTGATATTTCCCTTGTAGGCAGGGGACAGCTGCTGTTAGGTACCCCAGGGCTGCCTCTTCTCTAGTCTGGATAAGCCATCAAGCCCCGGCCGCTCATGATCAACTTCATGGTGTTTGCAGGACTTGCCCCAGTTTGCTGAAGCCTCTCCTGCATCAGGAGTCCAAAACTGGACATACTATTCATCAGCCCCCATTGCTGCTGCTCATGTCCACTCACTGCCTACTGGAATGCCACAGAGCTGCTCACTAGCTAGGCAGCTCCTGCCTGTACCACTGCAACAGCCCTCCACAACACCCCAAGCTTATTACATTACTCCAACACAGTCATTCTGAAGTTCATTGAAAGCCCATAAAATTGCACAAAATCATTTCAGCAAAATAAATCATTCTGATTTATACTTACAAAATTTACCAAAAATAAGTAAAATATTCAAGGTTCCCTGAACAGTAACACAAATAGAAAATAAGCAGCAAATAATAAAATAGGAACTAACTAAACTAAATGTATTTAATATTTTCCTCCTGTCTCTCAAGGTCTGCATATGTATACTTCATGTTTCAGGGTGGAACACAGCAAAAGTGAACTGTGTAAATGTTGACTGCTTGTTCACTTATACAGACAATTTTTGACTCTTTATCAGTGAATTCAACTCTTTGCACCTTGTTTTCCATACACACTTCATGCCCAGTCCACCTCTCCAAATGATGTTTCACCAGTTTGGTTATAAAAATGCTATAAAAGACTGTGCTGAAGACTTCACAAAAGTCAAGGCAAGCAGCTTTCCTTTCCCTCCCTGTGCCCACAGAGACAGTCTTCTTTATCTCAGCAGGCAAACAGGCTGGGTCAGGCTCAGTTCACTTTTGACAATCCATGCTGGCTGCTTCCAGTCACTCCCTGATCCTTCACATCGGTTGACATGCTTTCTAGGACAACATTCTCCATGACCTTCCCAGGCACTAAAGTGGGGACGACTGGCCTGTACTCCCATGCATCTCCTTCTTCCCTTCTTGGAAGATAAAATTTCATTTTTTCCAGTCTTTGTTGGATCTCCTTAGGTCACTATGACTTTTAAAATAATAAAGTAGCCTTAAAGTGACACCAGTTACTTCCCTCAGATACCTCCTATCCAGTGCCATGGGCTTACACAAGTCCATTTTACTTAAGCGGCCTCTAACTCAATCACATGACTATACTTCCCAGGCTTCTATCCAAACCAGAGGTCAGTCCTGCTTCATCTCCCTGTTGTATATAACGTTCTTCATGAAACCCTTTAAGTGGGCAAACCCTCCAGATTCATGTCAGAAGTGATGTGGTGCTCAAGTGGGATATCATACTGAAGATGGACCGCAGGATCTTCTTTAAAATGTAAATGATAATTTACCATGAAAGTCATAAGAGAGCTGTTTAGATGTGACATGTACTTGCAAAGTATTAGTGATGTAAAATTTGGAGAACGGAACTCTGGATATAGTCTTTGAGGCAAAAGTGTTCATTTAATCTTTTTGAAAAAGTAGAAAGCATATACTTGAATGTGTGTGGTAAAAAGGGGTTAGAAGGTGTCTATTAAACATTTTTCTTCTATGCCATAAAAATGCTTTCCAATGTGTTCTTTGTCATTTTCTAAACGACATGCACAGCGTGCCTCATCCCAGTGAATAACAAGCACAATCTGAGGAAAAGCACAGCAATGCTTCATATAAAAGACAATTTGGATACTAGATATAATACTGACACTATTCTGAAAAAAGAATTTTATTTTTTTTTTTAATTCTTCTCTATAGAAATTAACCAGCAACAACTTGTTTCTTCTTGGTTGTAACTAATTCTTGACAGAAAAGAAATTCTGCATTCAGAATGTTTTCTTGTTAATTTTATTAACATGCACTACCTCAGTTATTAAAGTCAACTACTGGGGGAAAAAGTCAATGAAATCTATTGGTTACAAACCAATAGATTAGTAACAAGGTAAAGACAAGCAGGCAATTACCTCTGCATTACACATTCCTACTCCATAGCACAAAATATTATCAGTCAAAGCAATAGCCAAGGCTCTAGCTCATCAAAGAGAGAGACATTTCAATCACTGATCTGGAAATTCAAGTAATAGATACCTTAAACTTTCTGCCTACTGGGAATAGCATGACTCACCAACATGTAATACGTAATCTTTAAGAAAAAAGAGCTCCTTCCTCCATGCTTGGTACTTCCTGTGGTTGGAGGGATTCCGCTTGGTTAACACAGCACCCTCCTGTTTCTCCTTGTAATTTCCTACTATCTATTTTTCATTACTCTGGATGACTTGAAGACTTAAATAAAGGCCAAAGTCCTTTTTGAAGTCTTAAATGAAAGCCAAACCCTTTCATAGAAGTAATAACTTTTCTGACAGTAAAAGAGAACATGTCTGGGTAAATCAGACACTAGCGTGTTCTTGGGAGAGTGCGCTAAATGCCACTTTCAGGTTTCTGTCCTTTAATCAAAGCAGCTCAGCCCCTTGATCTAGGAACTGCTTGGATATCCTTGTGGTGAGAAGTGTTCTGTGTATACACCCTTTTTCCCTGAGAAAGGCATAGGCTGCCTATATCCAAGTTAAACTGATATGAAAGAAAGCCTCTTTACCTGTACTGCTGGAGATGTTGACATCAATGCTGATATCTGATATGCCACCTCCTTTCAGAGACGCAACACACGTGTATGTCCCAAAGTCAGTGAATTTCAAGTCAATAATGTCCAGGTTTGTGGTGCCTGGTGAAACATCGGGGTCAGTCTGTGTAATAACCATCCTTTCAGAGCTTCTCAAGGGACGTCCATTCTTAAACCAGCTGAATGTAAGTTCTTCAGATGGGATGGCTTCCACCTGGCAGGAGATTTTCACCTCTCGCCCAATCTGGATGTTGTCATCTTTGTGATATGGGTCAGGGGTAATCCAAAACCGTCCTTTTTTTAAGGCTAAGAAATAATAATAAAAAAAGTTTACTATAATAAACTATGATTTATGCATATTCAAACTTTGCAAAGACTTACGTTTCACTTTATGCCTACATATGATTTTACTAGGGTCTGTAGCAATAGGACAAGGGGTAATGCTTGTTAACTAAAAGCAGGGACATACACCTTAGATATAAGGAGGAAATTTTCTACAATAAGGGTGGTGGGGCACTGGCACAAGTTTCTCAGAGAAGCTTTGAACACCCAATCCCTGGCAGTGTTGAAGGCCAGGCTGGACAGGGCTTTGAGCAATCTGGTCTAGTGGAAGGTGTCCCTGCCCATAGCAGTGGGGTTGGAACTGTATGAGCTTTAAGGTCCCTTCCAACCCCATTCCATGCAATGATGCTCGGGCAGTCACTGAAGCGTCTAAAGCACACATTTAGCACATGGTTCATTTTTTGTGGGATCAAATCTAATCAAATACCATCACATTGCTAAAGTATCTATCATTTCCAAAATGAAAAATAGGAAGTCAAAGCACCTAAATGAGGCTGAGCTGCTGACAACTGAAGAGCAACCAAAATAATTCATGAACCTTCAGTGTTTGTTACCTGTCTTGAGATATATTTACAAGCCCTTCTTCACCCCTGTGCTATCAGAGCACTGAGAAAGGAGAAAATACAGATATCAACCTAACTACTAATACAAACAGTAGTGTCATCTCCAATCTGTCTGGCAACAAACACAGCCGTGCAAAATAGCTCTGTGCCAGCTGGTTAAATGAGAATAGGCAAGCACATGCCCGAGGCTACAGCCTGCCCTGGTTTACATAACCTGCTCCTTCCCTGTTGCAGCTGGGAGTACTCCTTTCATCCCACAGCTGTCCAGAGGCTGACTGCCCTACCCCACCAAATGGCAGACCATTGGTGGCCAACTGCATTGCCTTATTTAGGCAGGGAAACTGCTGCCAGTTCTAAAAGGTAAGGGGACTGAAAGTACATTTCTGGGCAGTGATCAATGGCAAAAGGCAAAAAGATGCTCTTGTGAGATGCAAGCACAGAGTCCATCACGAGCATCTTGCTTGCACTTCCCTGGCTGGGTCTTGCCAGATGAGGAAAACCCATCCCATGCTCACAGGAGAAACCTGAAGGTTGCACACACAGCTGAGAGAATAACATAATTTGGAGAAGCACAGTATATCTGAATGACCTCTATCTCCACCCAAAACTATTCAAGCCTACTATACAAACTTAATTAATTCCTAAATTCTCTAACCCACAGCCAAGCAGAGTTAAGATAATCTCAATGTTTCATATGGGAACCCCAAGGCAAATGAATTTTTTGAGGCAATCTCAAATGCAGGTCCAGCATTCAGGAGTAACCTATACCCATGCAGGGGCAGAACAACTCCGGAAAATGTTACTTCCCACCATCTTCCCAGCAAGACCAACATCTTTTATTAGCATTCCTTCAGCAATCTATTGGACAAGAGCAAAATAATACTGCAACTCATCTGATTTTTCTTGTCACTCTTTACATGAGCATAAAACTCTCCAGAAACTACCACCATTTACATCAATAAAGTGACTGCTCTAAAGCAGTGTTGCTATGATACTTATTTTTGGAAGAGTGCTTCAGAATCTGCCATTAAATCTTTCAAATACACATATATTTTGATATACTGATACAAAATTCTACTTATACAATCACAAGATCTCCCTCCCCCTATATATATATATATGTGCGTAAGTATGTATGCATGTTAAATATATGCTATCTCCAACCAGAAAGCTCCATAATGAAAATATCAGTCAGAAATGTTACAAGCAAATACCCAGGCTGAATGCAAGCACTGAAGACAAATTTAAGCCCATCATTTCTTGTTGTCATGCTGACTTCTGTTGAAGAGTTTCCCTCATTGCCCTTTTTTCCCCCACCCACTCTCTGCCCCCATCCATGCACAGTGCCCCACATGTGCAGCACTCCTTTTTGTCCTCAGATATCTATATGCTTACAGCAAATGAAGTCTGATACTGTTACAAATGGCAAAGTCTATAAGCTGAAAATTCCCCTGGATCCCATACTTTGAGTAATACGCACTTTTCACTTGCTGTGTACAGAAAGTGTAACAACATCAAATGGAAATAGATGTATGAGGCACCAAGCAAGAAAGCACAATGCATCAGCTCCTTGCTCTATGAGTGCTGAAAATGCTAATTCAGACTCAGTTTTGTTAGCACATAGCTTGTTGAACAAAACAGCTCTCTGGAGCTCACAAATGCCAGGCTGAATCAGCGCTTTCACAAGTTTGAAAAGAATTAACATTTAATTAATAATTAGTGTTTTTTTTCAATGTGGGAAAACAGTATAAAATTGGGCTACTTGTAGACAGCCCCTTACATATGGTGTGAGGAACTTCTTCCACTGTGGAAGCCAGCTCTTTTTATCAGAGAATGAAAAAATGCTGTATTTGTTGTACTGATTAGGTATGGCATTAAAGAAACTTGTCTGGGTGCTGCTATTCAGTTGTAACCATGTATTCAAGAATCCAAGTTGTTGATATGTTCTTAAAAATTTATTATTTCATTTAGTTAAGAAAGTGTCCTGAATTTTATTAAGATTAAATTTTTGCACCAGAATGCACTAGTCTTCACCAAGCGCATCTCGCTCCCTTTTAAAAGCTGCAGCTGGATCCCCAGGAAGCAGAACAAACATTCACAAAGACGAACCATACATTATAAGACAGCTGGAAACAGCCACAGCAAGTAACTTTGAAAGTTGAGCTGAACTTTTTTATTTGAAAATGGAAGAATAAACTATGCTTAGATACACAAACACCAATAAATATATTATGGAAATAGCTTTCAGACAGGGAAATAAACCCCACAGCTTGATAGGCATGATGAGCGGCACATTTAAACCAGAATTAGTTGCTAGTAACCTCAATAAACTATTTTTATTTCTGATTATTTCTTATTTGTTTTGAGTGCTCACACAGACATTTCAGCAGTCCTATAAATAAACAAAAAGGTCTAATGGAAAAGTCACATCAACTTTCATCTGTCCTTTGTTACAATTATTGTTACAATACTGTCTGCAAGCTAAGATAAAGGGTGCATGTTCAGATGTCTTCAGAGTCACTAAGAGGTCTGGTTTGGGGGAATGGAGGAAGAAAAGGAATAGAGCAAAGTGACTTGTTCCTTCATTTCAGAAGTTCTGGAAACTTCCTGAGTTCTCAGTTCTCCTCTGAACTCCTTTTATTTGGATGTATGGAAAAATACTTAGCTCAGGTGTATGCTCTGCACAATTCTTTGGCGGTCAGATTACGCTGTAGCAGGTCAGGACAGTGGATGATCCAGAGACAGGACGTGCTGGGGTGACCCTGCTCAGATCTTTGAACAAATGGTTATTATGGCAATGAAAGGCCCAGTTAAGCTAGTCTCAGATCCAGAACCAGAAGGATTGCCCTTGACAAAATGACCTGGGGTCAGCAGACCTCTCCAGAGTGACTGCCTGCAGCAGGCTTGGGAAGACAAAGCTGTTTCTTGCAGGCTAGGTGTAGTCTTAGAAACACATACGCTAGACGTGGTCTCCAAAAAGACTTAGACCTGACTGATTTACATTGTGTGTGACCTCTTGGGAACACCTGAGTTGAACCTGGTAATAGAAAAGTGATTTCTCTATGCATTCTTCACACAGGTTTGCATTCACGCTCAATCTCCATAAAACAATGGTTTGAATTATCCCCATCTGTAAGTACTTGGACCATAATTTCCAGCCATACCCCTACATACTATCAAGTATATTGAAATCTGCAATGGATTCTGACTCTCGCTTTTCACTGTATTATCAGTTACATTTGAGACAGCATTTGAAGTTTTCCATGGGGTTAGATATAGTGACTGAAAGAGACACAAGGTTAACCAAAAAAATGTGTGAGATGGTGCTGCAGATGCTAACCACAGCTGCTTCCCAACAGAGATTTCAGAACATAATCAACATACAGGGGCAAAAAATGGCAGCAAACATGCAAATAAGTCTGTAACTGTGCTCTGAGACTCAGGAAAGTGCCAGTCTTTCTCCAAAGAGGCCCCAAAGAACTATGATTTGTTCGAATAAACAAAGATGAAACAATTATTGTCCTCAAATTCCTCACAAAACTGTCTTTGCCCTCCCCCATTAATTACATTTCAAAGTAATAAAATGCATTTAATTATCTCAACTAACATCTATTTGTATTCATCAGGTTAAGCTGTATCATCCCATCCCTACCCTGATTCAACTCCAGATCTTCCTTTAAAGCATTAGAATGTTCGTATTTTTGCCAATGGACATTTCATGACATATGAATGGCATTAAACACCATTAACAGAATAAAGTAACTGCAGTGCTATTTGCATGTTTGGTCATAATAACTATTGGCCATTGGCTGATTCTGAAGCTGACATAGAGCACTGAGGAATGCTTGGCTTTGTGTTTGCTGATGTTTGTATCTGTGTGCAGCCACAGCAACACTAAGTAGCAGATCTGTGCAAATTACTGATTTTAACCTTGACTGAGCAGCTGGATACCACATGAGGTCCAGCCTCTGTGCACTCACCAGAAGAAGCTTTGCCTAATTTTGATTGCTCCCCTTCACATTTTGCTAAGACTAATGAGTGATTTTGTTTTCAGCAGTTCCCACTGAACAAGGTAAGAATGTCACCTGAATCTGCCATGCAGACATAAAGACCTGCCTGTGCCTTGGAGCACCCCAAGTATGTTTTGGAGGTTTGCTAAACTCAGCATCCAGCATGTCACTTGTTTCTAGGCACCCAGCACTGGCATTTTATCAAGCAAGTGCAAATACCTTCACCTCCAGATCCAGCTGTCTTTCAGGATCCTCCAAAACCATTGAGAGAGAGTCTGGGTTTCAAATGCACCCTGTGTCAGACAAGGCCAGGTTTCACAGTCATTTGTCTGAATGATTAAGTGAATGAATGTATGAAACAAAGGAATCTGCTCAGGTACCACACCTTGGA